AACAACCTTAGATAGATAGATAGATAGATAGATAGATATGAACAGCCATAAATACATAGGAATAAACTGAGAAAGTGTCAAAAGTGATATTACAATGGAATGTTTGTTTTACACCAGAATTCATGACGGGTGTGAAGTTAACTTGCCGTGAAAATCAGCATTCAGTTATACCGGTTTTTACTTTTGTCACTAAAACTTACTCATGATTACCAAATAAAAGGGAGGATGCAAATAAGGGGTAGAAAAATAGGGAAATTTAATAAACCGGGTGTGGTCGATAAAGTGTGTGGTGGGGAAAAGACGAGAATATCTGAGAAATGGGGTGTGGCTTTCAATAAATGGTCTATGTGAGAAATGATAAAAATGGTGCTATTTAAATCATTACAAGACCTCGAAGAATGAAAAATAAAAATAATTTCAATTTTGAGTTAAAGGCTTTAAACTGAATCGAAAATATTTCTTTAAAATTTTGCCAGTGTAACAATATATATATATATATATATATATATATATATATATATATATATATATATATATAAAGAAAAGAACAGTAGATATATAATCCGGTGTTTTATAGATATTTTTATTTATACATAATAGTGCTCAATGTAAATTTACAAAATATTTATAAATTGATTTATTTAAAATATGTTTTTTTCGCTAACAGTTCTAACCATATTTCAAAATTTTGAAACATGTTTAGAACTGTGTAAAAAAATAATTTATTTATATATATATATAGTAATGTCTGTAAATTTACATTGAGCACTATTTTTAAAAATAAAAATATCAATAAGAACATATTATATTTCTACTACTTTTCTTTTATATATATATATATATATATATATATATATATATTGTATATATTTTATATATAACATTTATATATATATATATATGGAAATGGACAAGGTCCGACAATTTATTTATTAAAGACAACGTTAAACATAAATAAAATGTCTTTAATAAATATATATATATATATATATATATATATATGCAGAAATGTAAGCAAATATATGGATATAGATCCGACAGTATGAAGAAAAATATACGGAAAAAACAAACAAAAATCCTCATATTAAAACAGCATAATTGCATATGAGGATTTTTGTTTGATTTTTCCGTGTATATTTTTCTTCATATGCAGAAAAATAGTTTTAAAATTTGCTATATTTATGGGATAAAGTGCTCAATATCAGAGATAGAGCGTATGTAAAGGTGGCCTCACGATTGCGTCTAGCATGAAACAACCTGTGGCCTCTGAGTATTGACTTCAATGTTCACTTATATATATATATAAATATATATATATATAAGTGAACATTGAAGTCAATACTCAGAGGCCAACAAAAAACTCGCTTGAAGATGGAACGGAGCCCTTTTTAATTTCAACTCAATTTAATTTAAAGGATTATATTGAAGTTTTCGGCTCTTGTTTTGAAACATGAGACCTCTTATGTAGCGATTTGGAATCATATTTTTAAATAAATAATTATAAATATATATATATATATATATATATATATATATATATATATATATATATAGATAGATAGATAGATAGATAGATAGATATGTATGTATTTATATGGCAAAATATTTAGGAAACATTTTATACGAAAGCAAAAATAACACAGCTTAACAATATTCCTGTTGCACTTGAATACAATACATTCTCCTGTACTCTTTGTGGTCATTTTGCAATTCTCGAGTCCGTCACAAATGTCATGCCTGTCATAGGCATTCAGATTATTAGTTCGTATTCGTCGGAACTTCTTACGTCGAACTCGATGGGAGAGTCCATCACATATATATATATATATATATATATATATATATATATAAAATAAAATCCCAAATCACCACATATGGGAAATAGCAGAATTCGGCAGACGAAGATATCGGTCGTCTGTCTGATCAACCTAGATGTGGACTGAGTTCGTGTCGGAAATAGAAATTTCCCTGTGAAATCTTAAAGATGAGACCTAGAAGCCAATCTAGTATTGCGTTTAAATTCGTGAAATTGAGGTACCAAGACGAAAAGCGATATTTATTCCTGTAAGAAACAGTAAATGTGGTATAAGACCAAAAAGTCGGATGGTGAACTTCAAACGTCCAGCATTTAACTTAAGGCCTCAATCACTGATCCAAACCCAATGTCTGTATAAAATCCTAACTAATCCCCATGCGTAAAATTTGTGTACGGTTTTTGGGTAACAAAGGGAGAACGCCCATCAGAACAATTACCATGAAAATATTTAGAGACAAGTCAAAGGGAGGCTATACTACGCCAGCGGGAAAATGCGTTAATGACATCGAAGCTATTAAGATAATCTTTTCCATCGTCTTGCCGCGAATTCTTTATACGTATGTGGGGCCTTTAATATGTTCGTGGGCGTTGGAGTGAAATCCAAAAATTAATAAGCGGGTAGGGGACATTTATTTGGTACACGAGAGTAGCACTGAAACCAGAAGCAATTTCGCATCTCGACTAACCAAACTTAGTGTTCCTTTCTTTCTGAACACGTAGATGCGCACGATCCGACTGACTTTATACACTTGAGCACGAGTAAAAATGTATGCAGCCAAATTGACATCATTTCTTGAAGTCTTTCGCATTAAACGTCGCGTAAGTGTCGGATTTCTAATGATAATATCGCTAACTGGATAGATTAAAACGAACCTTAATATGTGTTGCAGTCACTCGAAACCTAATTTTACGTTAAGACAAGTACCCGTAACCTTTTCAGTACAGTCGGGGAATATTAAACAAGTATAAATTTGAAACCGGAAATATTAAATCACTTTCAAGATGATTAATGCAAATTGCAAAATGTGGACTATGCTTGGAGTGATAAATAAAAATAAAACCAGATTTTAATTATACATTCGACCTTTGACATTCGACCTTTGATATAATTTTGTTCATACTTTTGGGGCAAAGCAACCATCCCTTTATCATGTCCCGTTATAAGTTATGGCTGTTATATTCCATGCTAATAGGAATATATACTTGAAAAACGAGGTGGATATAAATAAGTAAAGGCTTATTGTACAAAACCAGTACAATAAGAATAAAAGTAACAGTTGTCATCGTAAGTCAATCCAGTAGTGAGTGCTACTATTGCAAGGTCGGTAATTCTCGCGTAAGTCAGATTCCAGCTAGAAATATTTACCAGCCTCCGCACGAAGTAGGATGTGGCACAAGGCCGAATTTACTGTGGGGTTCCCGAGCGCATAGTCTCGGCCAAAAAATCCACGTAAGCAGAGAGTTCGACGAGCACAGCTGGAAAAGATTCCAGCTAGTGTATTTACTAATCCTCCACGTGATCAGATGTAGCACAAGGCCGGGCTTAATATGGGGTATCCGAGCCCGTAGGCTCCGCCAAAAATTCCTGTAGACCCTGTATAAAACGCGATCGGGTAGCTATTTTCCGAGACGAGACTCTGCCCTTCGGCATAGCCTCGTCTGTGGATCCTCTCTGCCCGGAGGCATAGTTCAACCTGCTCAGTTGGAAAAGATTCCAGTTAGTATATTTACTAACAGCCCCACACAATCAGATGTGGCACAGGGCGGAATTTAATGTGGGGTATCCGAGACCGTAGTCTCAGCCAAAAATTACCCATAGATCCCATACAAAACGAGGTCGAGTAACTGTTTCCCGAGACGAGACTCTACCACTCGACTCACCCTCATCTGGGGATCCTTTCCGTCCGGAGGCAGAGAGTTTGCCTAGCACAGCGGGAAAAGATTCCAGCTAGACGGTATCTAGCAACTGCCCCACGTAGTCACATGTGGAACAAGGTCAAATTTAATGTGGGGTCCCGAGCCCGTAGGCTCGGCCAAAAATATCCCCGTAGACCCAGCATAAACGAGATCGGGTCAGTCTACCTTCCCGAACGAGACTCTGCCCTTCGGCATAGCTTTGTCGAGGTCCCTCCCTCGAGTTCGATAGTACAACCGAAAAAGATTTCGGCTAGTATATTTGCCAACCGCCCCACGCGATCGGATGTGGCACAAGGCCGAATTTAACGTGGGGTTTCCGAGCTCATAGGCTCGGGCAAAAATTCCCCGTAGACTCCATAAAAAACGGGGTCTTGTAGCTGTGTACCACCCCAGACGAGACTCTGCCTTTCGGCATAGCCTCGTCTAGGTTCCTCTCTATTCGAATGCAGAGAGTTTGACAGTACCGCCGAAAAAGATTTCAGCTAGAATATTTGCCAACCGCCCCACGCAGTCGGATGTGGCACATGGCCAAGTTTTATGTGGGACATCCGAACCCGTATGCCCGGCCAAAAATTCCCCGTAGAGCCCTCATAATCGGGATCGGGTCGGTCTACCTCCACGAAAGCGTATACACGGGTTCAGGGTCAGTCTATCTCCCCGAACGAGTCTCTGCTCGAAGAACCCGCATAAATAGGATCGGGTTGGTCAATCTCAGCGAACGAGACTCTACCCTTCGGCTGAGCCTCGTCCGGGTTCCTCTCTGCTCAGAGTCAGAGAGTTCGACCGTCTAGCCGAAAATATTTCAGCTAGCATATTTAGCAAACGATTGTTGCACAAGACCAGTTTTAACGTGGGTTCACCGAGCCCGTAGACTCGGCCAAAAATATTCTCTTTCGAACCCGTACAAACGGGTTCAGGGGCAGTCTACCTCCTCGAACGAGTCTCTGCCCTTCGACTGAGCCTCGTCCGGGTCCTCTCTGCTCAGAGGCAGAGAGTTCGACTGTTTAACTGAAAAGATTTCGGCTATCCTCTGTAGTCAGTTGACTTACAGATACTTATAGGCAGTTGCTACCTATAGTGTAGTTAGTCATGGGGATGACAGGTTATTCCATTACATCAATGTCATTCTTATTGGAGACATCAAAAATACGAAAGATGTCTATCAGAAGCTAAGCAAAGTATTAAGAGAAAAGAATATATATATATATATATATATATATATATATATATATATCAAAGTTAATTCTGTTGGTAAATGTGCTCGTCTATGCTTACAATTCCGCCCCCCGAAAATAGGTATGTGGAAAAAATCAGCAAACAACGAAAAATCCACATATCTACTTCCAATTGTAATCATGGAAGAACACACACACACACACACACACACACACACACACACACACATATATATATATATATATATATATATATATTCAATCAATTGACCACATGTAAGTAAGGTACAAGGGGTTACTGGGTGTGAAAGAATTGAAAAACCGAAACATTATTAAGAAACTAGAACAATAGAAGAGTAATCTGGAAGACAGAATATAACGATTGACATTGCATTTAAATTTTTGAAGATCAAAGTTAGCTGGAATCCATGGAGTCAGAAGAATTTTCCACATGCGGGAAGTGCGAGGAATGAAACTTAACATATAACTTACGGCTGCATCTAGCCAGTTGGTCTGTGAATTAATGAGACCTTGTTGCCAATATAGTACTACACTTATATTCCCGAAGTCAAGTATACCATAGCTCCTTCGAACACTTAACATGACAGTATGTATAGAAAAGGTAAATAGAAGCAACTTATCGGCGGTTGGAAAGTGACTGAAGTCAAGACGCCAGCTCAGGACCAATAACATTGTTGATTATTTTTTGAATTTTATCTAGCATCTAAAAATATAGCAGAAGAACCGGATCATATGTGGCAGCAATATTTTAAACATGCGTGAATGTTACACCGGAGAGAAAATTTGTCTAGCACCATCGAGTGAACAGATTCTCTTAGCAGCAGAATTTTGAATGAATGTTAGCAACTGAAGGCACAACGAGTCACTCGCCTGGAGGTTAGCATTAGCCATGCACATGAAATGCAGAAAATAATTTCTCAAATGATTAATAGAGGGCAGGATATATATATATATATATATATATATATATATACAGACAGACACACACACACACACATATATATATATATATATATATATATATATATATATATATATACAGACAGACACACATATATATATATATATATATATATATAGTTCTGCATTCGTACATCAATTCGACTTTATAAAAGTTTAATTCATTTTTTGTTAGTTTTAAGCCAACAGTAAATAACATCATCTAAGGACACGGCTTGGAATAACTTACCGTGTTTGTAAAAAAACAACACATTACATATATATATATATATATATATATATATATATATAAGACATTTTTATGTTTCACATTCAATTTATAGATACAAATATTTAAGTAAATGCTCTGTTTATAATAAACAGTATTAAATCACATTACCGGCCTGAATGTCCGAGAAAATTTTCATAGAAATAATTGTCGGACTTTGTCCATTTCATAATATATATATATATATATATATATATATATATATATATATATATATATATATATATATATGTATGTGTGTGTGTGTGTGTGTGTGTGTGTGTATAAAATGCTCACACACTAATATTCCACGGTAATAATTTATTACATTGGAATAGTAATCACGATCCAAATCATCAGACCTAGAATTTCAAAATTATATTCTTACTCTGTCCTGACATTGAGTTCTACCTGGATTCTATCCTCTTGAAATTTATATATATATATATATATATATATATATATATATATATATATATATGACCACTAATATTATCTATCTATTCATCTATCTATCTATCTATCTATCTATCTATCTATCTCTCCTCTTTTTATATATATATATATATATATATATATATATATATATATATATATATATATATATATATATATGTATGTATGTATGTATGTATGTACATTAATGAATATTGATGAGCGTTTTAAATTTAAAAATTCTAAAAAAGTAACAACATTATTCTATTTTAGTAAATTTTACTTCTAAAAAGTAATTAAAATATATTTAGTTTTTCAAACATTTTAAATTTACGAAAGCTCATAAATAGTCATCAGGCTAACTGTGAAAGTCAAGCTAAACTATGAATTATGCAAAGTTATCAAAATTTTAACTAATAAACGAAAGTTTAAATGTTATTGTTGTGGACATTTTATTGATTTATTTTTTTCTATATTTTTTTTATTAATGCAATTATTATTATTTATGTTTAGTTTGATATATTATTTAATCAATTTGTTTTAAATGAAAAAATGTTTTTTATTCACCGATTCCTTTTAATTAAAAAAAATATGGTCATATATGTTGGCTTGGGAAGAGAGTATTTCTTTTATGAAAGTCGATATTTGCCTTCATGATTGCTTTGGTCTGCTTTACGGATTATCAACGTCAATGGGTTATTTAATGCCGATAAATTTTTTTATTGCTGGTTATATTTTTTTTACAAAAATGTATTTTTGGTAATGTTATTTTTTTCCTTAAAAAATGTATTTCTGGTAATATTTTTCTTCAAAAATCTATTGCAGGTAATTTTTTTTGTTTTTTCAAAAATGTATTGCAGGTAACATTTTTTCAAAAATGTAATGCTGGTAATATTTTTCAAAAAATGTATAGCTGATATAATTTTTTTTTCCAAAGAAATGTATTGCTGGCAATATTTTTTCCAAAAATGCATTGTTGGTAATATTTTGTTTGTAATAATTTTCCATTAAAAATGTATTGCTAGCAATAATTTTTCCTTCAAAAAAGCATCCATTTCTGTAGAAAAAAATTATTGCTGGCAATGCTTTTTTTTTTTTTTTTTGCTTTGGAGGGGGGGCAGGAAAAATTAACCTACCTAGCGAGTGTCTGTAAATGGATGGCAGGACAAGATAACAAAATGTGGAAATTTATTAACAGCTACGAAAGACAGGAAACTGTGGAGAGCCATTATCGTCTACCGCCTCTGCTAAAATATCATATATTTATATTTTTCGACCTGCTTGATGTTTTCGTTTATCTAATTCGTAATTTTCGTGTTGTGTTGTTCCTTTTGCCAACAACCATGGCGGTTTCATCTTACAATTGATGTTTTTTTTCTCTCTTATCAACACAACGTCATCTGCATATTTAATGGCGTTTAGATCTTGGCCGCCAATAATGAATCCTGGTAGGACTTCTAATTCTCTCAGAGTCACCTCACCTCGAGTTGGTTACATGACTTGATTCGATTTGCATCGTAAATCCTGACAACTCCAAAATAATATATTATTAATAGTATTACTTTGGATATAGAATCCGGCGCAATATTTTCTTCTTTTGTGTGCTGTATTCCTTCATGACATGCGCAATTATAGCTCCCCACATCCTTTGTAGCTTTGAGTAATGTTTGAACTTCAACATATTCAATAAATCAACAATTTATAGAACAAAAAGCTAAATATTGTTCTATGGATATTTTTACATCTTAAGAAGTTACCTCCCCGGTCGCTACAATCTTAATCTGTTCAAATCTCGGGTTAACAGTTATCTTTCTCGTATATCACCCAAAACTCTACCTCTTATTCTGTAAAACTCTACTTCGAATGGCTCTTGGGCCTTTTACATCATTGTAAAATAATCTCACTTTACAATCAGAATACTGATATTTATTTTAAAATCGCTAAAGGAATGACTAATGTGGTCTTCGAAGATTATGAATAAATATGGGAATTTGTTTTTTAATTTTAAAAATTATTTTATTTAATTATTTGTTTACATTTTTATGTATACACTTTTTGATTAGGGCAGGAATATTAAATTTTTACGAAAACATCCTATCATCTCAGTTAAAAAGGCAATAAAAATTCAAAGAAGATTACATATAGTTTTTCCTGTTTCAAATGAGCTGACGACATCAATGTATTTTTAAAACAAAGAGTTAGAAAAAAACGGCTGGCAGAAATAATTTTAACTCGGAACCTCAAAATGGTGATTTGCATTTCAAACTATACGCTCAGTTTCTAATAAAAATTTCCTGAATAATTCCATTTAGATGTAAATGCACATGCTCAATTCGAAAATAACAAATAAATTTCGATAAAATTTACCGTTTTGGAGTTATCGGCAATGAAATTTCGGACTTATTCGCGTCGCGGTGGGTTAAGTTGAAATTAATTCTGCAACCCGAAAAAACACTAAAAATATAACCCTATTTGGAAGAACTTTATTAGGTTTACGTTTGTTAGTCGTCTCATCTTTTCAACTTTATGAAAAAAACGTTTCGTTTGTCTTTTACCAGCGATATCTCTCGCACTTGTTTCACTCCATGATTTTGTAATTCTTTTGCCGAGAATGTCGAGTCATAAGTCATAATTATTCCCCGCCTTCAACGATTTGTTTCTTATTCAATATCTTATCACTTGAATCATCATGTCTTCCGCCGGCCAGCGCTCCATCAGGCACACGGCTTTCGAGAATCTAATCAGCGCGAAGACAGACAAGAAAAAGTCGATTCTGCCGACGGATTACTGTTTAATAAGAAGTTGTTAAAATAGAACTGATGAGATTTTAATAGGATTTTTCTACCTTTAATTTATTACACTTCCTTTCTGTTTAAATTTCTTTCCATGTATCATCTTTTTTTAGTTTGATTCAACGCTGGGGGTGTTTATCACGTTCAAAAATCTAAATCAAATGAGAACTTGACACAACAAAGAGCTATTTCTTTCTTTCTTTTTCTTTGCCTTCTTTCTTTCTTTCTTTCTTTTCTTTGCCTTCTTTCTTTCTTTTTCATTGCCTTCTTTCTTTCTTTCTTTTTCTTTTCCTTCTTTCTTTCTTTCTTTCTTTTTACTTGCCTTCTTTCTTTCTTTCTTTTTCCTTGCCTTCTTTCTTTCTTTCTTTTTCTTTGCCTTCTTTCTTTCTTTCTTTTTCTTTGCCTTCTTTCTTTCTTTCTTTCTTTCTTTTTCTTTGCCTTCTTTCTTTCTTTCTTTCTTTCTTTTTTTCTTTGCCTTTTTTCTTTCTTTCTTTTTCTTTACCTTCTTTCTTTCTTTCTTTTTCTTTGCCTTCTTTCTTTCTTTCTTTTTCTTTGCCTTCTTTCTTTCTTTCTTTCTTTCTTTTTCTTTGCCTTCTTTCTTTCTTTCTTTCTTTCTTTCTTTTATTGCATTCGTTCTTTTTTTTTTGCCTTCTTTCTTTCTTTCTTTTTACTTGCCTTCTTTCTTTCTTTCTTTTTACGTGCCTTCTTTCTTTCTTTCTTTCTTTCTTTCTTTCTTTCTCCTTGTAATGTGGGTGGCATGGTGGGTCCTGGCCGTTAAGATTAGGCCTGGTGGAACCACAGAATGCAGTTCGTCCGAGCACTTTCCATGGAAGTTGCATTAGAGCAGCAAGTGGATTGCCATATATATATAAGTATTGACTTTAAGAGGCTCTTCATGACGTTTACAATTCTTTAAACGTGCACTAACTGATATAGGCAGAGCAAATAAAATAACAAACAAGCAGTATTTTCTGAAATAACATAAGGACATTTATATATAATGTTGTGCAATGAACTCAGCATTTCAGTTATAATAGAGACCCGACATTTGCCTCTTGACGTTCAAGCGGGAGGTCAGGAAGAAAGAATAATTTTAAAGTTTAGAACTTTTATCATTCAACAACGAAACAAGAGTTTCTTTTGGAATATAATAAATTTCACCTTCATTTTCTTTGTAACTGTCATACAATGATTTTCGTTGTTTTCAACAGGATTAAAGCCATGAATAATTTCTCTGAACACAAACGGGTTACTTTATCGTTGATAGTCAAACATCTGGGCGGACATAAAGCGGGAAGAGATTGTCAATCATTGTAAGGTCATTACGGAATTATATTGCGTTATACGAGTTCGTTCTGGGGCGTTTTCAAGTGGGTGTAAGGTAGACTGGTGATGGTTTCGAACGAAAAAAGCTTTTGTTAGCAAGAAAATAGGTCCAAATTATCGGACGGAAGATATAACCTTTACGTTATTTACGAAACTATACAATTAAATAAACAGTTTTTTTTGCACGAATATGAAATTAGATTATGTTAGATTTTATTACACAAGTGAATATTTTCTCTAGTAAAATAAAATTACGATATAAATGGTGACGCTTCAACTGTCTTCACCCACATAATTAGTGATGGTAGCTTTGTAAACAGATCGAGTATCTCAAGTATTTCAAGAGAGTTTGACATTATATAGCATTGTTTATTACAACAAACTTTCTAGCTATGTCATCTCTGGATATGTTTACGCAGTCATCAAGTCTTTTCACTCAAGTAGGTTCATGAAAGTCGTGAGTTGTTTAGAAATTGCTTCATTTACGTGTTGGATGTGAAACGAAGTAGACTCTCCAGAAAACGTGTAGATATGCTCTATATGCTTTAGAAGCTTACTTTAGAATAAAGCTCTTCGTAGCCGAACGGTCAAAGCACATTAGATCATACGGCGTTGTCTCTTGCAAAAGAGGGCGTTGGAATCCTGCTGGAGGTCACATTTTCTCTATAATTCTTTCTCGACTGCACAGTCCGGTAGACGAAATAAATACGATTTACACTATATACATTGTTCTTACTATCGCCCTAACCTTTATTGCCATATTCACAACGTTTCGGCCGATGTACACACCGGCTTTCTTCGGTTGATATCTTTTGGAATTTTGAGCCTTTATTTAGTCCACGGGGACAGATTGTTCTAATTTCAAAATTCTAAATTCCAACAATTATCTGACGAAGGTACAACGGTCGAAACCTCGTGAATATAGCAATGTTTAACAGCATATCAAACTGTATGGTTTAATTAATGCCCAAATCTAAATATTTTGAACACAATTTTTTGGCTTCAACTAAATATTTTGAACGCAGTTGTATGCCTTCAACTACAGATAAAATGCATTGTGAGTCATTTTGCTATAAAATGTATTACTGTTAATTCTACTTTAAATAGATATTGTTTGTAGTTTTACTATAAATATGTATTGTTGGTAATCTTTTTATATAACTATGTACTACTGGTGTTTTTTCTATAAAATGTATTTTTATACTTATATAGTGTTTTGCATTTGTTTGGGGGTTTCATTATTTCTCCATAGCTGGGGCCCTAACAGGTGCTGACACCCTGAGTCCGGGGATACCTGGGAACAACAATAATTAACAGATGGTTATACGCACCTCAAAACCTCCAGTATCCCATTCAGAGGCTTTGCTGGTGGGTGTATTTTATCATCATACCCAGGACTGAAGACATTAATCAAACACTAAATAATGTAAATAATGATAACACCGCGTGCCAGGCAGAAACAATTGTTCTGTCTTTAAAGCAACCTCCTACGTCTGTCTGCCTGTCTGTCTGTCTGTCTCTCTCTCTCTTTCTCTTTTTCGTACACCCACATGAGAAAATAAACAGAAGCGCCCACACCCGTTGGCCCGTTTTGCGAAACTCAACATTAAAGAAATTTCAAAAGAGGATGCAGATGACAAATGAAACTTAAAACCGGACAGAAAGCAAAACAAGAAGACACAAACAAGTAGAAATAAAGGTCTTGGAATTCGGTTCCATACCGGACCTCTTTGGCATTTTGAAAGCCCGGATGTCAGTGTCTTTTGTTTCAAAAGACCATTGTTGGTGACGACATTTGTTTAACAAGTAGCCGACCTCTAAATTCTACAATCCCGAACACGCCAAAAACCGAAACGAAAATGGAAACATTTGAAGTAGAAATAATGCCCGTAGGAAATGAAGAGATAAAATTGATCTTAAAATTACAGATGAAGAATTTTCTATAATAGAAACTAAATTTTATCGAAGCTGCGTATTTACACCCATGTGCAAAGTAATTGAAACAACCGATTTAGTTTTCTTTCTTTCATCATACTGTCAGTTTTAGACCCACTAGAGTGATAGGGTGTAATTAATTTCTATTTTTTTCCTCAGATTAGGTCATTTACTGTGGTGTGCAGTAATACGAATCTGTTTTTGGGGTGTACGATGAAATTTGTCTGGCCTTGAAAAATATTGTGTCATTCGTGATTGCATCAGATTTTTATCACGCCCAGACACTATTGTCTCAACTGTCGATTAGTTGTCCTATAGCCATTGTCTGCGATGGACGTTACTTGAAGGATAATTACGAAAATTGTAACGCTGCACAAACACACTGGTAAGCTTTACCAGTGAGCAACTCAAAGTACTATAGACTGGCGCGAATACTTACCGATTTAAATCCAATCTAGAATCTGCGGTCAATCTGCAAGGAACGACTTAGTGGAACAGATAATCGAAATACTAACATGTGCACGGATTCATGTTTCATTGAAAAAATACGAAAAAAAAAGTAAATAATAACTGAATTATTGGTTTTGCTTCACTTAATTTGCACAAGGGTGTAATTTAGGCTTATTGCTTTTTCGTTTTTGAGATGAAGAATTATTATACATTAATCTGCTTGGAATTGTGTCCTTGATCGAAAAAATTAAAACATAATTCAAGGCTTTTAATCATATTTAAGTGAATGCTTTTTGTATATTTAGGATCATGGTCGAACTCCTGACAGAAAGACATAGATGTTAGAATTGCGGTGTCATGAGCAGCACTATATAAAAGATAACATCTAGAATTTTGGGAACCTTAAAAATATTTGATAATATTCTGCTTCCAATGATAAGCTTAATGAAACGGGTCGATAGATATGATAACCACTTCTATTTTAGGACGTAGATACTCATGGCTCTCCACAACTTCCTGTCTCTTGTAGCTTTTAATAAATGTTGTATTTCTGATATTTCTTCTAAAGCCTGTTTTGCCATCCATTTAATCAAGATATGCGTTGCTTTCCTCTGTCTCTTTTGCATTCATTCTGTTTTGTGAGTATCAAACTTTCCAAGCCCTCTTTCCTCATTATGTACCGTAGTAATCTCAACTGTTTCTTCCTGGTTTTTGTTGACCATGTTTGCCGTAGTCTCTAAATGTAGAATCCAGCGAAGTCCGTAATGTGTTCAATATCAGAGGTTGGCAGTGAAGATTCGGAGAAAGTGGCAGCTGTTAAGTAATTCTTTAAGTCTTCGATATCAGAGGTTGGCAGTGAAGATATTTTTAGAGAAAAAAAAAAACAAAATGGCTGCCTTTATACACGTCGGATTGAATATTTTGAGCTTTCTGATTGGTTAACCCTTGTCTAGATGGACTATAAAATGAGTCAGCTCATTTTGGCTAGCTCACTACTACTAAAAAGTACCCCAAAATTCCAACAATTTTAAGTATTTGTTTCATTTTTTTCTATTCTATCCTAAACTTCCTCGTTGCTCATATTTTCTATAGAACCACATTTCTGTTGCTTCGAGTCTCTTCTTCCTCTTTGAGGATATTGTCCAGCATTTATTGCCATACAGGAGGACAGATATCACGAAACAGTTCAGTACACGCCTCCTTGTTTCTAGCAAAGTTTTTTTTTCTATTTTTAATAATCTGCTTAGCTTTTGGAATTCTTGTGCTATCCCAATACGCCTTCGGATTTCGGTGTCACACTTTTAGTCCACTGTTAAAACACTTTCTAGACATTTCATAATTTAAAACACACAAATCTAAATGCAGAATTTCTCAAAATGCCAGGATGAAGCCAAGAAAATTACATCTGGCCTACTGAAAACGTTCAATACTCCATAATGACTGATTTAGATGTACATCTATTTAGGTAAGTGGAAATATCCAGTTACATTCACTTACGTGCTAATACCCTTGGGAAAGGTGTGAATCCTCTTCTTCGCTCCCCAGCTATGGGTAAATAGCAGGACAGACTGGGTTCTATAGCCTTGGATGGCAACTGGTCTAGGAGAAGGACAACTCAGAATTCAAAACCTGCGGAGGGTCGTTTGGGGACCTTGTGGCACGTAGTGCACCAGGACTCTGTATTCGGCCCTTCAAAAAGTGTGGACGGTCCTGCACAAAACCATCACCACTAAAATCAAATCTCATGTGCTGTTGTCCGGCTGTCGGTTTCCTTGGAACTGATCTGTTTCACCTCATACGTCGAATTCGACAGGGGAGTCGAATATATATATATATATATATATATATATATATATATATATATATATATATATATATATATTAAATTAAATTGGAGACTTTCAGCTTCCATTTTTGAAACATGGTTAGAACTGTGTAGCGAAAAAAAATATTTTAAATCAATTAATTTATAATATTCACGGGTTGGAGTTGATAGCACCATGCACAGCCGGTTTTGAAGTGAGAGTGGTCCTTCTTTTAGACAGTTGCATTAAGTTATTAATCCGACAGGTGGGATGCAGTGAGAAAGATTTAGAGATTTCCCAAAGAATACAACGAACACGATTAGATTTCGACCTCCTCTGGCCGAGTATTCATTCCGAGCTTCTAACCATTATAGCCTAATCTATCTATCTATCTATCTATCTATCTATCTATCTATCTATCTATCTATCTGTGCCTACTTATCTATCAGCCTGTTCTCATCTATCTATCTATCTATCTATCTATCTATCTATCTATCTATCTATCTATCTATCTATCAGAGTCTGTTTACTGTCTGTCTATCTATCTATCTATCTATCTATCTATCTATCTATCTATCTATCTATCAATCTATCAGCCTGTTCGCACCTATCTATGTTCATATCCTGTGTGTTTTTCTTTCTGTAAGTTTTTGTGTCTGTGTGCATGTTCCTGTGTGTGTCAGCGTTTATGTGTGTACGTTTGTGATTATGTGTGTGTGTATGTGTGTGTGTTTATGATCAATTGTGTGTGTGTTTGTTTCTGTGTGCGTGTGGATTTGTGTTTCTGTGTGTGTATGTGTTTATGTTTCTCTTTGTGTGTGTGTGTGGTTGAATTTCTATGTGTGTGTGATTGTGTTTCGTTGTGCGTATGTGTGTTTGCGATTCTGTATGTGTGTAGGTTTCTGTTTTTGTGTATGCGTTTGTGTTTCCCTCTGTGTGTGGTTGTGCTTGTGTTTCTGTGTACGTGTGTGTTTCTCACTCTGTGTGTGAGTACGTGTGCGTGTATGCGTGCGTGCCTAAGCGAGCATATTGCTAGATGTATCTATTTATTTTGAGGATTACGTTACATTCTTAAAGGACGAAAAAAAACCGAACAAGTAAAATAGTTGAAATTCGTTGGAAATCTGGTTAACAGCTGTTAACGAAACACTGTGGTTAAGAGATCATATCAGATCTCTTGACAAACCCGATCCCATTGTGATTCATCTTGGTTCGTCAATGTTTTGTCCCGATACGCGTGGTGAAAAAGAAAACATGGCCGACACTTCAGTGTAATTAAATCCGAAGACAAATAGAAATATCAAAAATATGTTTTTTTTTAGCAACCGAAGAAGGTCTTAAAGAATCGAAAAAATGTCGTTGGAATCAAATAAAAAAAAGTCTAATATTAAATATTCTAAATAGCAATGAATAACGGACAAAAAAATGAAGAAAACACTTGAAGCAATTGAGATATCGTTCTACTATGGAATTTTTAAAATATAAAGAAACTGCTAAAAATAATCAAGAAGAGGCAGCTGGATTTTTTTAGGAAAAAGGCTAAGAGAATTTAGCACTCAGGGGGCGAGAGAAGCGAGTAACTTAAAAAAATATCGAAAAATTGATAGCTGAATAAATAAGTAGATAGATCTAGCAATATGCTTGCTAACGCACGCGCACGCACTTACACACACAGTGAGAAACATACACGTACACAGAAACACAAGCACAGCCACACACAGAGGGAAACTCAAACATGTTGCACAAAAACAGAAACCTACACACATACAGAATCGCAAACACGCATACGGACAACGAAATACAATCACACACACATAGAAATTCAACCACACGTACACACACACACACATAAAGAGAAACATAAACAGAAACACAAATCCACACACACACACACAGAAACAGACACACACAGTTGATCACAAACGCACACACAGAATTGCTGACACACACACAGGAATATACACACATACACAAGAACTTACACAAAGAAAAACAAACACACAGGATATGAACATTGATAGGTGGGAACAGGCTGATAGATTGACATGAAGAAATGAATACAAAAGGGACAAGAGTTACTTCTTAATGAGCCGTTTCCTGACAGGACGTAGGTGATGATGACTCTCCACAACTTCCTGTCCCTTGTAAATCTTAATAAACTTTGTCTTTCTGCAATTTCTCCCAATCTCTGTTCCACCATCTATTTACTCAAGCTCACTAATTATGTTATGAGTTGTTTTCCTCTCTCTCTCTCTCTCTCTCTTGTGTCCCGTGTGTGTCAGATTTTCCAAGCCCTCCTTCCTCGTTATGTACCCAAGAAACATCAACTGTCTCTTCCTGATGTTAACTATTAGTTTTCATTTTCTCTAAAATTTTGTCGTTTCTCTAATGTTCAGTCCACGGTATCCTCAATGGCCTTCTGTAGAGCAACAACAGAGAAGTTGTGGAGAACCGTTATCATCCGCCTCCTGACACGACTTGGCATATAGAGGTAGAATGAGAATAAAACGCTGGTTTATAATGAAACTTTTACTCTATATGCCATGTTCGTCGAAAATGTGCACGATCATGACCCTCCATATCCTCCTCTCCTTTGTTGATATCAGAAATACGTAAACCTTCTCTTTCTTTTTCTTTTATGTCCGTTTATGGGTCTCCATAGCTTTCTGCTTTTTGCTGCATTCAGCTACACAAATTCATTTACTTCCCCACTTCTATGGGCTATTTCTTTTCAAGATGTGTAGGATCATGGTTCTCCACAACTTCCTGTCTTTTGTTGCTCTTAACGATACACGCTTGAATCGATGGAGATGAGCGGTCAGTTTAGGGTTGTGAAAAATAGCTGATTGCAACGTTACAGTAAAGTTGCCACATTATCAAATATCTTCCAATCTATATGTAAAATTCTGTGACTTCTTTTAGTCTGTCCGTCCGTCACACACTCTAAAATAGCCATACAATTGACTGATCGAAACCAAATTTGGGGTGGGGAGGGCAAATAGGTAAGTGGGTACAAAATATATCTGGTTTTACTAGGGTGCATAGCTTAGTACAATATATTTTCATTCACTTTTTGGAAAAATTAAAAATTTTATCTAACATACAAAATAATTCCACTATTTTAAAAACAAATCAACGATTAAAATAAAAATACTTATCTAATAAAAGTGCAATATTACATATCTTTTCTTTAAGTTTTTATATGTACAAGCATCCAGTTTTCAGTTCACTCTGCCTTAGCGTGAACTGTAAACAAATCACAAGGCCAAACTCGAGAAAGAAACATTTACGCATGACCAGTTGTATGTTGCATGCTCAAGAGTAAGAAATCCTAAGAATTTATTCTTCGCTATAAAAAAAAAAATCTTTCTTAAAAACTATTGTTTAACATGAAGTTCTATAAAATAAAATTAAATTAAAGAGATTATTAAAACCGCGAAGTCAAGTCAAAGTATTTTACCAAACAAATCAGGCAAGCAAGTAGAAATATAGTAACTCAAACGCTGTAGGTGTATGTCACTCGAGTATAAAATCATTAAGATCTAATGAGTTCTATACTGACTCGTTATCAAACGCTACTAATCTCATGCTTGAAAAGCTAGATTTGCTAAATCTCTGCATTTAGTAATTATTTGATTATCAGATCACCACTTCTGTCTGCTTGAACTCTCATTAAGGGTCTCAAATTTGTAATTTTAAATATTTTCCTATGGGTTCAAAAGTTTATTTTTGTAGTAAAAATGAACACGTAAAAACTGCTATATAGAAAAGAACAAGGAAAGATATAAAAGAATTTATATATAGTAATCGCCTTTAGACTCTTCTAACACTTTCCCAGTCCTCTGAGTCTTCATCAGATAAACATTCAGACTCTGAAATGTTTGTATTGGAGCTTCCGGCGCGAATGCCAAGCACTGGTGGAATGAATTGCGTCATGGTGCTCTTTTTTTCTGTCAGACGTTGCCCAACTGACCCTACTATACTGTGAAGTCGACAAAATCAAAATCACACAAAGCGCATGCGCGAAATTAAAAATATAAAATGGCAACAATTTACTCATTGCGCCATGGATATTGAGGAAAGGTGCAAAAGTAGGTATACAGTAATGGAAAACAAAATATATATCTTTTACACATCTCCAGTTATAGAAGTCCATTGGGGTAATATCTTACTGTATACTTAGTTTTGCAGCCCCATGTATTGCCAATACCTTTGCAGAAAAAAAACATCCCCAAACCATGATGCTGTCATCACCAAATTTCACTGCTGGAACTGTGTTCTTTTGTTTGAAAGGCATCGCCAGCTTTCCTCCATAATTTCTAGAATGACAACCATGGTCTTATGACTATAAATCTTCTGTTACTAAAACAAACTATACGTCAGAGAAGATGGCAAATCTTTAAATGTCGCCCTAGCCTGTATCTTCTATATATATACAAACTATTCAACAACTGCCATATTGGATGTTTGAGGACTGGTGCTTTTAAATTTAAGTTTGCTTCCTCATACTAACTTCCATGAGAAATGTAAAAAGTTTATATATCTTATGCCCGTTTTTATAGCAAATTTTATTCTTAAAATGAATGGAGGCCTAATGGCACCATCACGTGTGAAAACTTTAAATACTTTCATAATCACCATTAGACTCATCAAACTCTTTCTGAATCTTCTGGACTTTCCTCAGATTGACTCTGAAATGTTCATATTGAAGCTTCAGGAATGAATAACACACAGTAAATCATGCCGTTTCTAAATTTCTGGCAGATTGAATTGTGTTGTGTTGCTCTTTTTCACACTGATGGTGTCCAACTGACCCTACTATACTGTGAAATTGACAAAATCAAAATCACACAAAGTGCATGCGAGAAATTAAAAATATAAGATGGCAACATTTTACCCATTGCACCTTGTAATCTCTGTAAAGAGGCGAATCGAAACAAAGAACATTTTAGAAAAAAATGATGGCTAAACAACTAGAACTAGACGAAAATAACTAAATAAATGCGTATACTGTTTTATACATAAAAGGAGCGTCTACTCAAATATGAGTATCCACTAAAAATAACGCTTCAAATGATAAAATCTGTCGAATTAATGAATAAAAGATCAATTACTTCTTTAGTAAATTGCTTTGTTTACGTTCGGGTACAAAACTGAGCAGACATGAAAATTCCGACAGTCTGTAAGAAGAAATATTTCGCTAAAAGGCGCAATTCAACCTTATTGGTTAGTTAGGTTTTTGTAGCGAAGTCTCTCTAGAAAATGTTGCATCTAACTGTGGTTACCATCTAACTAGTGTGTCGCAGGTTCGAATCCTGCCGAGGAGCACATGGTTTTCTTTATTAAGATTTCTGAAATATTATAAAGTAAATAAATTCTGTTTAAGAAATAAACGGGACATATACTCAAATACAAGTATCCACTAAAAACAGCGTTTAAATCGATAAACTCTATCAGATTGATAAATAAAAAATGCATTAATTCTTTAGAAAAAAAAATATATATATATATATGCATGCATGCATGTTTGATTAAAAACGACAAACAAGGTACTACGGTTAAGCTTTTTATTTAATTTTTCTTGTGTTCTAACAAGAGCTTCCTTTTCTGGATCAAGGGTGTGTAAGAACTGTCCAAATGTTTTATATTTCCGAGCGTTTTCGGCTATACCTTCAGCCATTATCAAGGATGATTCGATTTTTTAGCTTAATTCTTAGTGTGTGGTAGGTATGTTTTTAATTTCCGAATACGGTTATCACATTGTCACATTGTTCGTTGTTATATATATATATATATATATATATATATATATATATATATATATATATATATATATATATACACTAGTAATAATCTTATCAGTATAAGAAATTATACTCGTCCGGAAAACCTTCGGTGCCTTGATTTGCAAATAATCAAACCAATACCAAAGAGAAAAAAGGTATATAAAAATGAAAGAACAAAGAACATGTACGTCAGCTGAAAATAATCGTCTAGCATCCAAGTTCACAGTCCAAAGAAAAACAAAAACCGATACGAGTAAGTAAAATAACTAAATAAAGACAGCTTTCCTTGACGATTCGCGTAGGTGAAACCTTGGTAGGTTTGTCTGGTTCTTTAGGTTTAATTAATTATATATATATATATATATATTAAAAAGAGACAATATTCAGGCCAATAGGGTATTCCTTCTTGTTTACAAAGGAAAGGCTGCAGGGACTTGATATATATCGTGTCACTTTGATAAAGGATGATACAGACATTTGACAGACGTTCAGTTATCGTAGACACGGGCGTATTTACGTATCCATAGAGCTTTTGCAAGTGTAGTGAGTATCTACAGAGCAAATTAATGTTTATTTGTCTGATGAACCCAAACCATGGTAGATAGGTATTGGCATTTCTCGAACTCACCTGTATTGCTCGTTATTCTCTGGTAGATACCTAATCGGGCTCGAACGCAGACTTAAAGGTATGAATGGGTCTGTTATGAAAGGCAGACTCACACTTGTAGATACCGACATTTTGGTCTGCTGGTGATGAGGACAACCAAATGCTGTTGCGATCAGAGAAGCAATCAGGGAAAACTATCAACTGACATTATAATAAGTATCGGGTGTCTGTCTGCGACAGGGCAAGTGCATCTCCCGCACACACAAATATGCGACGTACAAAGAAATACTCTATGGTGTAACAGATATACACAGACGGGTGAAAATGAGAAATTGTTGAGGAGGAAAATGAAATGCTAGCAATTAATCTGTAATTAATGACCGTGATGACAAGTGGGCACTAGTGCATTAATGCATTTATGTATGCAGTGGTTGCACAAGAAGTTAAGTCAAAAGGGATGCTGTCGGTGGAAGATAAGGACGGGGCATTTTATTCGGGTCAAATGCGACTTCACCTTCTGAAGAAAAATTGAAGCACTGAAATTGCGCTAGACAAAATCTTGTGCATCTTAAATTGCACAAACGCAGTTATCTGTGATTTTTAAATTGTACTAAATATGCGCGTGTATATATATATATATATATATATATATATAGTGGGGGAAACAAATATTCGTACACATACAGATTTTTAATTTATTGTCTTTCCAACTAATGAATAAATATACTTATTCATATAATTAACTGTAAACAGATGCATAATAACTAAATATGCATAGAAAATAGGAAAATATTTGATTGAAGAGAAATAAATCCCATTTATTCATTTTAAAGTTTGAAAAAAGTATTCGTACAATACAGAAAAGAATACATAATCTTCATTTAATACTTTGTAGAATAGCCATTATTCACTTCTATAGCATCCAACCTCTTCTTGTAGTTCTCAATTAATGTTTTGCAAATTTTAGTTGGTATTTTGTTCCATTCTTCTTTGCATATGGTCTTTAGATCGGGGATGTTTGTTAGCGCTCTCGATTGATTTTGAATTTTGAAATAACGCCACAGATTCTCGATTGGGTTTAGTCTGGGGACTGACTTGGCCATTTCAGGATATTTACATCACTTTTAGCAAGCCGTGTATTCGTAGATTTTGCAATGTGCTTAGGATCATTATCTTGTCATTATCAGGAGGAAGTTCAAAATTTGCAACTGAAATCATTAAATTTGCATCCAAAATATTTTGTTATGCTGCGGTATTCATTCTACCATCTGTTACTGATATGTTGCCAATACCTTTTGCAGAAAAACATCCCCAAACCATGATGCTGTCATCACCAAATTTCACTGCTGGAACTGTGTTCTTTTGTTTGAAGGCATCGCCATCTTTCCTCCCTAATTTCTAGAATGACAACCAAACAACTCAAGTTTGGTTTTATCTGTCTTTAATACTCTTTTCCAATACGATTTTTCCTTATTCTTATGTTCAAGAACAAAATCTCAATCTGGCATCTCCGTCTTTTCAATATCATTAGAGTTTCCCGAGGGAAGCGTGGCTTTAGATGAATTTCATTGCTTATTATCGGTTAAATGACACAGAATCCTGATGAAAAGCAATTCATCCAGCGACACTTGATGAGTAACCATTGGATTTTGTTTAATTTGACGCATTAATTTCCTTAAGATTTTGAAGATTTTGTTCTTTCGTTTTCAAAAGTTTTGAGTTTTTTATACCTTGCAATGAATGAAATAATGACGCTAAATGGAATATTCAGGTTGTCTGAGATTTTCATATAACTTTTACCTTCTTTCCAGAGATTAACAATCAGTTATGTTAGCGAATTTGTCAATTCTTTACATCTTTCCATGATGAAAAACTTCTTTCACGATTATCAATTGCAGCCTAAGAATAACAAACTGATAACATTATTGGAACATTCTAGAATATTTCCCTTGAATAATCTAGAGCATTGAAGCAATTTAAATGCTTTAAAATCTGAAATTTGCATTGTACATTGACTTTTTTCACCCATTAAAATGGATAAATGGGATTAATTTAAATCATTGTTTTTATTTCTATGCATATTGAGTTATTAAGCATCTGTGTATAGTTAATCTTATCCGATTAAGTCCTATCTGATGAAACGTGTTTACAATTTTTGTATATATATATATATATATATATATATATATATATATATATATATGTATATATGGAATAAAACGATATATATATATATATATATATAAATATATAAATATATATATATATATATATATATATATATATATATACATTGTGTGTATGTGTAAAATATATATATATATATATATATATATATATATATATATATATATATATATATATATAGAAAATTCATATATTATATATATGATAAGGTACTTATTAGAAAGCGCTCAATATCAGTGATAGAGCTAACATATTTAGTTGGATTGATGTGAGCATTATTCAGTGAACAAAATAGACGAACGGTCTGAGAGTTGACAGCGCAGCAGACACAACAAATATTCGCTACACAATCCAACATTGAATACAGCGACCAATTGCGTACGTATGTAGGAAAAGGACACACATGGATGCGCACATGTGCTTGGTAACACACTGTTCACATATGTTTATGCTTGTGTGAACTCCAGTGAGCGTGCGTGTGTGTGTGTGTGTGTCTGCGTACGCCAATGAGTGTACGTGTGTGTATGTATGTTTACGTAAGTATGAGTGGCGTTCCGAGGAAAATTTTTCTTCCCACTTCCATAAAAACACCGATAGACGCAGCCATGTATAGATCCAATATTTAAAAAAAATTAGTTACTCTGACGATCGCAAATAGCGTGAAACCCAGGATCACAAATTCACATCAATCAACTAAAATATATATATATATATATATATATATATATATATATATATATATATATATAAGAATAGTAATTGTTGGTTATTGGAATTCATTCCGTATACACAATTATATACTTGTATATATATATATATATATATGCATTTGAAAAATGTGTGTATGTGGGAATACGAAGGACCGATTAAGTCTCTATGTCATAAGTACACACAGATATATATATATATATATATATATATATATATACACACATACATATATAAATATACATGTATGTCTTTTTATATATATATATATATATATATATATATATATATATATATATATATATATATATGTCAGACGTACATTTTATATATCTATATATGTATGTCAGAAAATATATATATATATATATATATATATATATATATATAATTATTTTTTAAATAAATATATAAATAGAAAAAATTAAAATTACACACTTTCAGCCATATGTCCCTCTGTCTTTTCTACAAATATTTTCACGGTAACTGCTTCGACTATCTACTTGCCTTGGTTTCCAAACTGCATGAATTTAAGCGTGCTACTAGGTTGGCATCTCAGTCCCATAATTTCGCTTTCGAAACTGTTAAATGGAGCCATCTCTTCTGCTCCAATGACTTCATGTCTCACACTTCCCGTCTCTGGAACTCTTTTCTTCTTACTTGCTTCCCTGATGGCTATAGTCTTCAAATATTCAAATGCAATGTCAGTCGACATCTTCTGATGTCTTCCTTTACTTCCCTTTCTTTCTCTTTACCCTCCTCCTCAAACACGCCTCTTTTCTCTTGCTCCTCCTCTCTGTAACTACTTGTGTGCTAATGGCGTTCAATCCCTGCTTGAAGTGAAAAGCTTAGATAAAAAAAAATGTATACATCTATATATATGTATATGTGTGTGCTCGCACGCGCGTGTGTGTGTATTTAAGAGTTTGACAGAGGGATATGTATCAAGTTTGTGACCACTTGTTATACAGCCTCTTCTCAGTACATCTATTATTTGTAAGGTCCGTGTACTTAAATATTGAAGAGCACACTTAGAACGTTGTGTAAGTGAGGACATATGTTAGCATTGAAAAATATACAGCCCCAATAGAGACAGTTAATAGCAACCTTGATAAGGATCAAATGAGATAGCGATTTAAATTTGAACAGCTTGAGAAAAACATGGGATAGATAGATAGATAGTGAACAGACTGTTATAGATAGATAGATATAGATAGATAGATAGATAGATAGATAGATAGATAGATAGATAGATAGATAGATCTGAACAAATGGATAGATCTGGAGATAGATAGATATGAGCAGAGATAGACAGATCTGAACAGATAGATTGATCTGAACTGAGATAGATAGATAGATAGATAGATAGATATCTTTGAACTGCATGCTCGAACTTTTCAAAGCAAGAGAGTAAAAAAAAAATGTTCGTCGATTTCTGTACAATCTTTCAAAATTCAATTTCCGTGCGTGCATGCTGTCATGTCTATATAAGCACCTCTACTATTCAGACATAAAGGCACACACACAAAAAAAAAAAAAAAATAACCTAAAAGCAATGTATAGCGTTTACAGAAATTAATGACGCAATATAGGGGCGCACGTCTAGTCGGAATTTCGAAGTCATCAGATATACTTTACACGCATTGCAAAATACCTACAGAAACATCAATGCGTATGTCGAAATTCATATCTACCATTGGCATATATATATATATACCATTGTATATATATATATATATATATATATATATATATATATATATATAAATATATATATATATATATAAATATATACCATTGTATATATATATATATGCCATTGCATATATATATATATATATATATATATATATATATATATATATATATATATATATATATATATATATATATATATATATATATATATATATATATATATATATAAATGCAATGGTAGATAAGAATTTCAACTCACGAACTATATATATATCCGACTCTCCCGTCGAATTCGACGTATGAGGGTCAGGCCGATCAGTTCCTAGGAAATCGACAGCCCGACAAACAGCACATGAGATTTGATTATAGTGGTGAAGGCTTCGTACAGGACCATCCATTCGTACAGGGCTAGACTGTTCTAGTTCCACGTGCCATGTTTAATGGATGTCAGTTTTCAGTTATCTCCTGTTAATTTCCCTCCAGAAAGTTCTCCGCTGCCTTAACCGGGTATTGAACTCATACTCTTTGGGCCCTGTCACTGGATCTAACTAACGTCTTTATCTACTGTGACATGTGTCCTATATTTAGGTTAATACCTGGAGAACTTTCAGGGGGAATTAAAGAGATAAATTTAAAAGACATCTATTAAAACATGGCACGTTTTTAGAAACAGTCTACCACAGAGCGAAATAGAGGTTCAGTTCGACATTCCAACCACCTGAAGAAGGCCGGAGCGTATAACGGCCGAAACGTTTGTAATAAATATGGCGACAAAGATGAGGACAATAGTCCGAATAATGTAAATAATGCACATAATACCCCATTTCAGAAATATAGACAGATTCTGAAGGGCCTAAACGTTGTAGTAAATATGGCAACAAAGATGAGGACAATAGTCCGAATAATGTAAATAGTGTACATAATGCCTCATCTCAGAAATATAGACAGATTCTGAAAGACGTTCTAAATTATTGACACACAATTTACTGTTAAAATAAACTATCAAATTTGAAACAAACATGAGCGAGAAATAGAAACGTTATTTGCACTATTTACATGCAGACTATTGTCAACATCTTTATTGTTGCTATCACAACGTTTCGACTGTTGCGACTTCCATCCTTCATCAGGTGTATCTCAATCCGGTAACATACAGGGAATTATGAACTGAACATATTATTTATAATTGTAGAGGGAAACAGTTCTCTTTCCACCATCCATGCCTCGGGATATCTCGTCTAGTTTTTATTTTTAGTACTACCCAGTTATTTCTCACCCTTAGATATAAATATAAAAAATAGAATATTCCATATTTCTGGATTATCTTTGTAGAAATATTTAAATATTAAGTTCTAAAGTTAGATCGATTCTCGCTAGCTGTCTTATATATGCGGACGTTTGTCAAACTCGGCTCGCTTAAATAACGATAGGAATGCAACAGTTGTGTATGGTATTGTGTGTGTATATGTGTGTGTGTAACGTGTGTGTTTGTGAAAAGGTTTCTGTTGCAGTTTGGCGAACATATGGTTGTCTTGTGTGCCTATATCAAGCGTAACAATTGGCCTGAGCCCCAAAACTGAAATGTCTGAGCCGAAGGAAAGAGGAGAGAAAAGATCCAGAAAGAGATAGGTAGATTGAAAGACTATTGGCAAGGATACATTAAATGAGGAAAGAAAAATGGAGAAAAAAACTATCCAGGTAAAGAAAGCAGAAAAAATGAAGAAGAAAAAAATAGAAGAGAAGAAAAAAGAAGAGAAGAAAAAAAGAAGAGAAGAAAAAAGAAGAGAAGAAAGAAAGAAGAGAAGAAAGAAAGAAGAGAAGAAAAATGAAGAGAAGAAAAAAGAAGAGAAGAAAAAATAGAAGAGAAGAAAAAATGGAGAAGAAAAAAGAAGAGAAGAAAGAAAGAAGATAAGAAAAAAGAAGAGAAGAAAAAAGAAGAGAAGAAAGAAAGAAGAGAAGAAAGAAAGAAGAGAAGAAAAAGAAGAAAGAAGGGAAAGAAGAAAGAAAGAAAAGAAGAAAGAAAAAAAGAGAAGAAAAAAGAAGAGAAGAAAAAAAGAAGAGAAGAAAAAAGAAGAGAAGAAAAAAAGAAGAGAAGAAAAAAAGAAGAGAAGAAAAAAAGAAGAGAAGAAAAAAGAAGAGAAGAAAGAAAGAAGAGAAGAAAAAAAGAAGAGAAGAAAAAAAGAAGAGAAGAAAAAAAGAAGAGAAGAAAAAATAGAAGAGAAGAAAAAATGGAGAAGAAAAGATTTTCCTTGAAAAAGAGAAGAAAGAAAGAAGAGAAGAAAAAAAAAGAGAAGGAAAAGAAGAGAAGAAAAGAAGAAGAAGAAAAAAAGAAAAGAGAAAAAAAGAGAAGAAAAAAGAAAAAGAAAAAAAGAAGAAAGAAAAAAGAAGAGAAGAAAAAGAAAGAAGAAAAAGAAAAAAAGAAAAAAAAAGAAGAGAAGAAAAAAGAAGAGAAGAAAAAGAAGAGAAAGAAAAAGAAGAGAAGAAAAAAGAAGAGAAGAAAAAGAAGAAAGAAAAAAGAAGAGAAGAAAAAAGAAAAAGAAAAAGAAAGAGAAGAAAAAAGAAGAAAAGAAAAGAAGAGAAGAAAGAAAAGAAAAGAAGAAAAAAGAAGAGAAAAAAAAGAAGAGAAGAAAAAAAGAGAAGAAAAAAGAAGAGAAGAAAAAGAAGAGAAGAAAAAAGAAGAGAAGAAAAAAGAAGAAAAAAAAGAAAAAAGAGAAGAAAGAAGAGAAGAAAGAAAAAAGAGAATTTGAAAAAGAAGAGAAGAAAAAAGAAGAGAAGAAAGAAAGAAGAGAAGAAAAAAAGAAGAGAAGAAAGAAGAGAAGAAAAAAGAAGAGAAGAAAGAAAGAAGAGAAGAAAGAAAGAAGAGAAGAAAAAAGAAGAGAAGAAAAAGAAGAAAAAAGAAAGAAGAGAAGAAAAAAGAAGAGAAGAAAAAAAGAGAAGAAAGAAAGAAAGAAGAGAAGAAAAAAAAAGAAAGAAGAAAGAAAGAAAAGAAGAAGAAGAAAAAGAAGAGAAGAAAGAAAAAAAAAGAAGAAAAAGAAAAGAAAAGAAAAAAGAGAAGAAAAAAAAGAAGAGAAGAAAAAAGAAGAGAAGAAAAAGAAAAGAAAAAGAAGAAAGAAGAAAGAAAAAAAGAAGAGAAAAAAAAGAAGAGAAAGAAAAAAAGAAAAAAAAGAAAAGAAGAAAAGAAAAAGAAGAAAGAAAAGAAGAAAGAAAAAGAAGAGAAGAAAGAAAAAGAGAAGAAAAAGAAAAGAAGAAAAAAAAGAAGAAAAGAAAGAAAGAGAAGAAGAAAAGAAAGAAGAGAAGAAAAAGAAGAGAAGAAAAAAGAAGAAGAAAAAAAAAAGAGAAAGAAAGAAAGAAGAAAAAGAAAGAAGAAAAAGAAAAAGAAAGAGAAGAAAAAAGAAAAGAAGAAAAAAAAAAGAAGAGAAGAAAAAAAGAAGAAAGAAAAAAAGAAAGAAGAAAAAAAGAAGAAAGAAAAAAAGAGAAAAAAGAAAGAAGAAAGAAAAAAAGAAGAGAAGAAAAAAAGAAAGAAGAAAAAGAAAAGAAGAAAGAGAAGAAAAAAGAGAAAAAGAAAGAGAAGAAAAAAGAAGAGAAGAAAGAAGAGAAGAAAAGAAAGAAGAGAAGAAAAAAAAGAAGAAGAAAGAAAAGAAGAAAAGAAAGAAAGAAGAAAAAAAAAAGAAAGAAGAAGAAAAGAAGAGAAGAAAAGAAAGAAGAAAAGAAAAAAGAAGAGAAGAAAAAGAAGAAAGAAAAAGAAAAAGAAAAAAGAAGAAAGAAAAAGAGAAGAAAAAGAAGAGAAGAAAAAAGAAGAGAAGAAAAAAGAAAAAAAAAAAAGAAGAAAAAGAAGAAAGAAAAAAGAAAAAAGAAGAAAGAAAAAAGAAAGAAGAGAAAGAAAAAGAAAGAAGAAAGAAGAAGGAAGAAAAGAAGAAAAAAGAAGAGAAGAAAAAAGAGAAGGAAAAAAGAAAAGAAAAAGAAGAGAAGAAAAAAAGAAAAGAAGAAAGAAGAAGAAGAAAAAAAAAGAGAAAGAAGAAAGAAGAGAAGAAAAAAGAAAGAAAGAAAAAGAAAAGAAGAAAAAAAAAGAGAAGAAAAAGAAGAGAAAAAAGAAGAGAAGAAAAGAAGAGAAAAAAGAGAAGAGAAGAAAAAAAGAAGAGAAGAAAAAAAAGAAAGAAGGAAAAAGAAGAGAAGAAAAAAGAAGAGAAAAAAGAAGAAAAGAAAAAAGAAGAGAAGAAAAAAGAAGAGAAGAAAAAAGAAGAGAAGAAAAAAGAAGAGAAGAAAAAAGAAGAGAAGAAAAAAAGAAGAGAAGAAAAAAGAAGAGAAGAAAAAAGAAGAGAAGAAAAAAAAAGAGAAAAAGAAGAGAAGAAAAAGAAAGAGAAAAAGAAGAGAAGAAAGAAAGAAGAGAAGAAAAAAGAAGAGAAGAAAAAGAAGAGAAGAAAAAAGAAGAGAAGAAAGAAAGAAGAGAAGAAAAAGAAGAGAAGAAAAAAGAAGAGAAGAAAGAAAGAAGAGAAGAAAAAAGAAGAGAAGAAAAAAAGAAGAGAAGAAAGAAAGAAGAGAAGAAAAAGAATAGAAAAAAAAGAGAAGAAAGAAAGAAGAAAAAAAAAAAGAAGAGAAGAAAAGAAAAAAAAGAAAAAGAAGAAAAAAAGAAGAAAGAAAGAAAGAAGAAAAGAAGAAAAAAAAGAAGAGAAGAAAAAAAAAAGAAGAAAAAGAAAAGAAGAAAAAAAAGAAAGAGAAGAAAAAAAAAGAGAAGAAAAAAGAAGAGAAGAAAAAAGAAAAAAAGAAGAAGAGAAGAAAAGAAGAAAAGAAGAAAAAGAAGAGAAGAAAAGAAAAAGAAAAGAAAAAGAAAAGAAAGAGAAGAAAGAAAAGAAGAGAAGAAAAGAAGAGAAGAAAGAAAAGAAGAGAAGAAAAAGAAGAGAAGAAAAAGAAAGAAGAAGAAAGAAAAGAGAAGAAAGAAAAAAGAAGAGAAGAAAGAAAGAAGAGAAGAAAGAAGAAGAAGAAAAAAGAAGAGAAGAAAGAAAAAAAAGAAGAGAAGAAAAAAGAAGAAAAAGAAAAAGAAGAAAAGAAAAAAGAAGAGAAGAAATAAAGAAGAAAGAAAAAAAGAAGAGAAAGAAAAAGAAGAAAGAAAAAGAATAGAAGAAAGAAAGAAGAGAAGAAAAAAGAATAGAAGAAAAAAAAGAAGAGAAGAAAAAGAAGAGAAGAAAGAAAGAAGAGAAGAAAAGAAAGAAGAGAAGAAAAAGAAGAGAAGAAAAAAGAAGAGAAGAAAAGAAAGAAGAGAAGAAAGAAGAAGAGAAGAAAAGAAGAGAAGAAAAAGAAAAGAAAAAAGAGAAGAGAAAAAGAAGAAGAGAAGAAAAAGAAGAGAAGAAAGAAAGAAGAGAAAAGAAAGAAGAGAAGAAAAAAGAAGAGAAGAAAAAAGAAGAGAAGAAAGAAAGAAGAGAAGAAAAAAGAAGAGAAGAAAAAAAGAAGAGAAGAAAAAAGAAGAAAAAAAACACTATACGTTTTGGGTGGGAGTGGGGTGGAGATGAATGGGGAGGGGTAACTGCAAAAAAATTGTTACTTCACAAAAACACTTCTTAAAAACGTGAATACTAAAAGACAGTTTATCTTTTTTAAACAGCTGTTTGATATTTATACAGTGTAAAATATACCCACTGAGATATATGCACAGATATATATACACACACACACGCACACACACACACACACACACACACACACACACACACACACACACACACACACACACACACACACACAGCCGAGTGGTTAGAACGATGGCATTCTGACAATGTGGCCCATGGTCAATTTTCCAGGAAGTAGACTTCCTGATATTATCGGACGTGTGGGCGGGGTTCGATCCCAGAGTGCGGAAACTTTGGAAAATACCTGAAAACCATACCACAAGTTGACCCAAGCCTTGTGAATGAAACTGGATAGAGGGAACCCTTGGGTGCCATCAATAGCAGTGCTGATAATAAAAGTAATAAAAAACATTTCTATCTCATATTATATATATATATATATTTCTATCTCATATTATATATATAGTTATATATATAACTATACTCGTTTCGAAACTCGTTTCCCTGACGATCCGTTTAGGTGAAACGTGGGTAGGTTTGTCTGGCTCACTAGGTTTATCTATATACATATATTTTTTTTTTCGTTGGAAATATAGAAATGTACATTGATATACTATATAATATCACCTATCTATATTTCTGGGATCAGGTGTTACAAATATTTGCATGATTTGGACTGGTGTCTACACCTTTATTGTCATATTCACGATATTTCAGCCGTTGTGCATTCCGGTCTTCTTCAGGTGTTATACGTTAAAATTTCGGACCAAACCCTTTATTTAGTCCACAGGGATAGATTTTTTTCTAGTTCCACGTATAACGTACCTGGCAAGCTTGAATGAATATATGGCGGAGCAGTGTTTTGGGAGAGGTAGCAAAAAGACAAAATGTATTAAAAAATACAAAGGTAAAGTAATTGTGGAGAGCCATGATCGACAATGTCCTGAAGAGACATGGTACATAGAAGAAGACTTTATTACAAGTTAACCGACGTAGGGAAATATAATTTTTAAAAAGGTTTATTCTTTTTCAGTTATTTTCCTTTAGTAACTGAACGCGCCAAGTTTTTGTTCATCTCTGCTGTGGCCAGGTATTGAACTCACGACTCTTTGGGTCAAGTCATTGGCTTACTTCAATCAACGCTTTTATCTTCTTGGGAACAGTTCGAATAATGTAGATAGTGTAAATGTACAATTATCTAATAGAGTAGTCAATGCTGGACAATTTTCCTCACAGATGAAGAAAAGACTTGAGGCAATAGTTCTACAAAAGAATGCTTCGAATACCACGAACGGAGCATGTGAATAACGAGGAAGTTTTTTTTTTTTTTAAATGGGTACAAAAACTACACTTGTATTAAGATTCAGATAGAGAAACGATTGTATTCTATCCGATTTCGATCATTTCTAATTGAATAGCCAAACAAAATTACGACAAATGGTATCAAGATAGCTAAGCGACTTATCTGAAAACCTGGAAAAAAATAAACTCATTTAGTTTAGTGTTTTTTTTTTTTCATTTTTTTTTTCTTTTAGATATTAAACTTTTTGGACAGTTATGTTGTAACTCGATTTGGACAATTTTGCTATTACATTCAGTAAGTTATTGTGTCGGGTAGTAAGAAATTATTAAGAACTGGGACATGGGAATAGGAAGGCCCATCGGAATAGGAAAACATATAATGGAATAGACAAACAAAATTACCAGACAAGTAGAACTGGAATTTCAACAATAAAACAAAGAAACATAAATAAACATTAAAATGAAAATTAAAAAAAAAAAAGACACTTTACAAATCGAAACAAAAAGAGAAAAGATTTAATTTGTAAAACTTTCCGGAAAGGCGGGATCAGAATAATTGCACGATTTTTGGTGCAGCAAAGATAAAGCACAATGTCGCAAATTCACAAAGCTGCAAGTTCAAATAGCGACAGATCAACTCTCCCGGATGCAAACTTGCTTCTCTATTCTCTTCTTCAATGTTACTGACGTTATATATATATTCGAAAGCAGCTATAATAATCAAGAGCAAGCGCATCCGGGTTATTCCCTCAGCTGTTTTCTGTTATAAATGAGCCTGACCCGGATTTTGTTTGTATCATGGAGCCAAATGTAGCAGCCTTTTTCACTATAAATAGATTTATTCTACATAACTGGATATACAATGAGAAAAGGGTGCTTGGAGAATCTGAAACTCTTAAGATTGCCAGACTATCTATTTACACTATTTACATTCTTCGGACGGTTGTCCTCATCTTTTTTTCTTTTCTTTTTTGCCCTATTTACAACGTTTCGGCCTCAAGGACACATGATTCAGTGGTTTCTTACGACAAATGATACCAAGATAGCTAAACGTCTTATCTGAAAACCTTGAAAAAAATGAACTCATTTAGTTTAGTGTTATTTTTTTTTGTTTTTTGTTTTTTTTTAAGATATTAAACTTTTTAGACAACTATGTTGTAACTCGATTTGGACAATTTTGCTATTACACTCGGTAAGTTATTGTCGGGTAGTAAGAAATTATTAAAAACTCGGACATGAGAATACGAAGACCCATCGGAATAGTAAAAGATATGTCCAGAAAAAAAACAAAGTATTAAGAAATATTAATATTTTGTTAGAAACAAAGAAAAAGTTGAACTGCTAGGCCATAACAATCTTGCTATGTGGCAGTGCATGATGGACAATATCCTTTGTAGATAAAGAAGTAACTCGAAGCGATAGAGATGCGTGTGTGTGTGTTTTTTGTTATATTCCGTGCTAAGAAAATAAGCATGACAGCAGGTGGATACTAGAAGAAAGGTTTATTGTACACAACCAGTACAATATGCAATACGGTACAGTTATACACACAGGTCAATCTAGTAGTGAGTGTCACTAATTGGAAGGTTGGACGTGCTTGCGTCGTGTCGCCCTCAAGCTTCTTCTCTGTCTCTCATAAACAGTCGACTTTATAGGTACTTGCTACCTATAGTGTATTCATTCATGGGGGTGACTGGTTATTCCATTACATCATTTTTTAAAATACGGAATAATCATAAACTTAAAACGAGAAAGAGACGTCGAACTGTGTCACGTAATGAGGAAAGACGGTTTGGTGAATTTAACATCCATAGGATATATTGACGGCAGGAGGGGCAGAGGGAAGCATTGTCACCTAATTAACGTGTTTTAAACGGGTGGACTAGTGGATACCGGCTCGGATTGAAGAATCTGAGAGCCGAGTTCGAATTCTAGTCTAATTCATTACATTCACTTACATGCTAATATAAATCCTCTTCTTCTACTCCCAGCTATGGGTAAATACCGGGTTCTATAGCTTCGGATGGCAAAAAGAAATGGCATCCTACTGCGGGAAAAAATATGACTCGTCAGTCATGTATCGAAAGGTACATGATCGCCTAAGCGTGTATTACGCATGGCTCATGACTGACTGACTGACTGACTGGTGAAAAGTTGTATGGGAAAGAACCAAAAGTTGATTAGAGCTACAAGGAAGAGGAAGTTGTGAAGGGCTATGATTGGCCGATTCGTTTCAGGACACGGAACCAATAAAGAAGAAGCGTTACATTTCCATCATAGAATGAAACTGATGTTTCAACATAGCGTTAAAACCCATCAAATGTAGTAATCATCATCATCATTAACATCATCGTCATCATCATCATCATCAGTCCCATGAGCGAGTCTAGTCTTAGAACTGCTGCACACCTGAACATCTAAGCCTTTCTCTCTCTGGATTGAAAGCCTGAGAGTTATTCATTTATGTGTTTATGTGTAGCGTGTTTTGGAAATTTAGACCTGGCGAAGCACATCCCTCTTTCGGTCAAAGCCCAGTCGACATACCCCGACTTGATGGTGCGCGTTGGTCACGGATACATAGCCATTGATTCCATCGGAGGAACTCTCTGCCGTAGCCGATGATTCCAGTTTAAGAAGGCCCTTGTCATCACCGCACTCGCTACATAAATCGGTGTGGAGGTCAGTCTACCCCATTTCGCTAGACGACATTTGAACCTTCACTTTCAGTGACCTTGATTTTAATCCCGCTGGGTGCATAGCTAGCATCCTCACCAGAGAGACCTGGTGGAGGAACTGATTTAGTCACCGATGACACGACCATGAGATAGTTAGTACGCGGCTAGCATTTGTAGAATGACGTTACACACACACACACACAATAATAATAATAATAATAAAACAGTAAAATCAGAAATCGAAGTAACACTATTTCGCTGTCGCCAATTTTCCTTGAGGAGAATTTTTTAAAAATTACGAGAAATACTATCCAGACCACACCGTGTTCTTCCTCTCCTTATTTGAAGTGAGAGCTGCGCCGACAATTTTAGTTATTACACTTGGAAATCACACCCATTTTAAAAATTAAGAAATCCTGCTTAACATATATACACATTAATAATGATGCACACACACACAAAATATATATATATATATATATATATATATATATATATATATATATATATGTGTGTGTGTGTGTGTGTGTGTGTGTGTGTGTGTGTGTGTGTGTGTTAGTGAAATAGGTTAAATTCTTATAAGGGAGTGGACTGAAGATATTTGCTCAACTTTCAAATGTAAAAAAAAGAATGCTGAGTCAACAGTTTTACAATATATATATATATATATATATATAGTATGATCAACAACATCATCGGATTCATGAGCGTTGAGAAGTATATATATATATATATATATATATGTATATGTATGTATGTATATTTATGTCTTTCAAAGAAAAAGATTGTGTTTCTCAAAAATGCAAAAGTATCAAGCATGGTATTTCTAGAAGATAACTTTTTTTTAAAGACAGGCAAGAAATGTTTTAACAGAGGAATGGAAAATGCGATACCGAAATCCGAAGAGGTATTAAGGTAATGAAAGATGCCTT